TCTGCTCATCCAACATATACAGAATGTTTTCTATGTCCTAGGCACTGTGCTAAAAGGTAAGCACACATGTAAGAGAAGCAATTCCTGCTCTCAAGGAGCTTACAGACTAGTGGGAAAGAGCCAAGTGGAACAATACTGATATCCTACATTTAAAAAAGTACAAAGACAGCCGGGCACAGTGGCTCAGGCCTGTAATCCCAGGACTTTGGGAGGCTGAAGCAGGCGGATGACTTGAGGCCAGGAGTTCAAGACCAGCTTGGGCAACATGGTGAAATCCTCTCTCTACTAAAAATACAAAAATTGGCCAGGTATGGTGCCACTCACCTGTAATCCCAGCCACTCGGGAGGCTAGGCAAAAACTCACTTGAACTCGGGAGACAAAAGTTCAGTGAGCGTGGATCACTTCCCTGCACTCCAGTCTGGGTGACAGAGGAGTCTGTCTCAAAGACCAAGAAGCAAAGAAACAAACAAAAAGTACAAAGATGTGCACAGAAAATGACACACAACTCAAACGTGAAGAAAAAAGATTTTTCTGCAGCAGAATACAGTTTATCAAGTGCCTTAGCTCCATGTATGAAACTAGACAAATTCTAAGCCATATTATCAAGAATTTTCAAAACATTGGAGCCAAAGGAAAATTCTTATATGCTATCAGAAGTTGGGAAAAACAGGTGTTACATGAAGATTCAAGAGTTAAATAGGGCTGTGGCTCATGCCTATAATCCCAGCACTTTGGGAAGCCAAGGCAGGAGAATTACTTGAGCCCAGGAGTTCAAGACCAGCCTGGGCAAAAAAGTGAGACCTGTCTCAATTTTTTTTTTAAGATGGAGTCTTGCTGTGTCACCCAGGCTGGAGTGCAGTGGCGCGATCTCGGCTCACTGCAAGCTCCACCTCCCGGGTTCACGCCATTCTCCTGCCTCAGCCTCCCCAGTAGCTGGCACTATAGGCGTCCGCGACCACGCGCGGCTAATTTTTTGTATTTTTAGTAGAGACGGGGTTTCACTGTGTTAGTCAGGATGGTCTCGATCTCCTGACCTCGTGATCCGCCCGCCTGGGCCTCCCAAAATGCTGGGATTACAGGCACGAGACACCACACATGGCCTCAATTTTTAAAAATTTAGGGCCGGGCGCGGTGGCTCAAGCCTGTAATCCCAGCACTTTGGGGGGCCAAGACGGGCGGATCACGAGGTCAGGAGATCGAGACCATCTTGGCTAACACAGTGAAACCCCGTCTCTACTAAAAAATACAAAAAACTAGCTGGGCAAGGTGGCGGGCGCCTGTAGTCCCAGCTACTCGGGAGGCTCAGGCAGGAGAATGGCGTAAACCCGGGAGGTGGAGCTTGCAGTGCGCTGAGATCCAGCCACTGCACTCCAGCCTGGGTGACAGAGCGAGACTCCATCTCAAAAAAA